CAATTTATATCTTCGAAATCTGAATAACAATTAACTAGGTAACGGAGTGAATATCGATAGATCCTTGTAAACCGAAGTTTGTTCATCAATTGGCAATTAGCGAGTGGAAATCTTCAGCTTAGGAGCAGCTCGGAATTACAGTTAACCGCTTCGATTCGTCTTTTTAGAAACGCTCCTCGCAGAGCAGCAACAACATCCACGACGATCGTGATCCTAAATTTCCAAGCTGCTGAAGAAAGCCGGCGTTACGTCCACGGTGTGTTTCGTACACGTCGAGACGAGCGTTCGATCGGGAATTCGAGCTTGTAATGGGCGCGATACATTCCGCATCGCCGTTAATGCGGGGCAACTTAATGTAAGCAGCGAGCGAAGGAATAATAGTGGCCTAGCCTACGGACATTCATTTATCTTAGTTTATTGCCAACTGCGAGGAAACAAACACCGTTGGAATACGCAACGACGCGCCATTAACCTCCCAGTCGCTTTGCCGGCCTGAGCTTAACGGTTTGTCCTGTACTTTTATTCCGGCGGACTTTCTTTTCTGCTTAATAATGACTCGATGATGCATCGTCATTTGTATCAGCTTACCTAACTGCCTTCGAATCGACTTAACTATTCCGTTCCGTCTACCAAGTATCGACCCGTCCTTTTTTTTTTTTTTCGTCCACTGATTAGCTTCTAACTCTCTCTCCCTTCGACGATTCTCGAGAATTTTAACTTGTCTTTGATCCCTTCGCTCGGCTCGTTTCGCAGTCAGACGTTAAATCGTTGGAATCGACAATGATACGACTTGAAACGTCATTTAAATTTTAGGAAAAGAACGGTTTGAAATTTGCATTTGACTTCTGTTGAGAAATTCGAAATTCTCGAGTTAGACCACAATGTGAGTATCCTTCCTCGACCAGTTTATATTTTTCTAACAACTCGACATTCCTGGTAATGATTGCAGTTGATCGGCGAACAAGTAGATCGTTGAATTTCAAGCACCAGTCGTTCCAACGTGTAGAACGAACTTACATTCCGCGTTGAGTAGAGGAACGAGTTGACACAGATATTTTTGTGACATTCTAAATCCAGAGAAATCCCATTCACCCTGGCGGAACTTTTGTTCCACTCCTGCTATGTACATACGCAGATATATATTTTCTACTTCTATTTTTTCCTTTGTCGTTGTTTTTTGTTTCTTCCACCAGACCTTTGTTTTTCGCATACTTCATTACATTCCCGGCCGTTCACAATCGAGTTTACTTCACTGGCCTGTCGTCCGCAGAAAGAGTCAACCGAACAAACGGCCAAACAACCGATTCTCTAATTCACGAAAAGCCCGGCCTAACAAAAGATCGAGCGAAGTGGAAAGAGGAAGTTTCGATCGTGCGAGCGAGCTCGCGGGCGAGCGAAGCGACACAGGAGAGACGAAAATCGAACAGCGATCGGTTCGAAAACCGGCGGGGTAATTAGCGTCCATCGTCGTTTCGCATCGAGCGCGTTGTTCTCCGGCGAAACAAATTAGACTGTGGCGCGTCGCACGAGCGAATAAATTTAGGGAATGTTTCGGTTTTCGAACAGCGAACAGAGAAACGTGAGAGAGAGAGAGAGAGAGAGAGAGACGGAGTAGCATAGAACACACGCTGGAGGGAATGAAACGTGAAACAGGGGGGTGAAACGGGAAGAAGGAAGAAACGAAAGGAACGAAAACAAAAAGGAGAACAGAAAAACGACAAAAACGAGGAGAGAGAGAGAGTGAGAGAGAAAGGGGATGAAAAGAGGGAGAGATGGAGAGAAAAGAAATAAAGAGGAGAGCACGTTGGGGGTAAAAATCGGGAGGGGAAAAATGTTTCTGGCACAGGATATAATGGACGCATTGCACACGAATATAATGAGATTTTACAGTGCAATTCACATAAAGCATTGGAAACAACAAAAGCTTCGGGGCTGAGGGGTGAACGGGGCCGGAGGTGGAGGGCGGGGGTGTAGCGCGATAAAAATGCCTGCGCCTAAACACATTATTTCTACCGTAGCCCCCGCTTTTGCTTTCACCCCCATCCCTTGTCCTCCTCTTTCCACCACCTCTCCATCCCCCAGCTCCTCTTCCGCCTGACACCGCCTCACTCCCATTGCTCCTCAATCCAGATCCACGATCTCTGAATGCAGACTGTTACCCTTTCCCACCACCACCTCGAGGCCACTTGTCCGCTCACTTTTTATTCTCCTTCCTTCGTTTTCCCTTCTTTCCTCTTTTTTTTCTTTTCTTTTTCTCTCTCTCCTAACCGTCACACGTTTCGTTTCGAATATGCCCCTCTCCCGTCTCGCGCCACGATGGAATCAGGATCGCAGGACGTGTAAGCGCGTCTCATTAACGGCGCCCCGCGTCACGCCGTTCCCGTCGCGCTTTTCTTTTGACGAACGCGCGTCGACGAGTTGATTACCTACTCGAAATTGCGCGGCTTCAGCCTCGTGGAACAGAGAGAGAGAGAGAGAGAGAGAGAGAAAGAACGGAAGAAACCGCTGGCTGTACATCGTTCAAGATAAGAGTAACCTCGCTCTCGGACCGATTCTCGCCCGTTCTGCGGATAGACAGAGAGCGTAGGTTAAGACGGAGAAAAACGTAGGCGGTTAAGTGGGGGTTTGGACGTTCTAGCCCTTCCTTAGGCACGTCCCATGCGCGAAACGAGGTTACTCTTATTTTGAACGATGTATAGTGGTTCTAACCCTGCCTTAGGCACGTCCCATGCGCGAAACGAGGTTACTCTTATTTTGAACGATGTATAGGAGAGATATTTTTGATTATGGGTGACGCGGGCGATTTAAACGCTGATGATTCGTGTGAAACGACAGAGAGATAGAGAGAGAGAGAGAGAGGGGATCGAAGAGGGAAGAACAGAGAAAATTGTCCCGCATAATTCGATGCGTTTTTTTCCATCGAGTACAGGGTTTCGACTAGTTAGGGATGGGACGATGGAGAAAAAAATGGACACTTTTATTCGTCGGGTTCGAACACTTGGTGGATATTTCTGTTGAACGTGTGTATCCGTGATTTATGCGGATAAAAATGTTTGGCCAGGATGAATGGGACCCGCACTATGAACGATTTTATATGAAATATAAAAGACTAGATAGAGAGACGTTTGCACCGGGGCGAAGCACGATAGCGCAGAGATTCGGTATCAGATACGAGTTCTAAGTGTATTTTACCAATTTTTCTTCTTTTTTTTTTTTGTTCGTCGAATTTATCGTAACGGTACAATGGTTCCCTTCTTTTTTTTTTTTATCGACGAATTGATAGTACAGGAAACGTGTGTAATTAGCTGAACGAAGATAAAGGAAGCAATGAACACGACGGCGGCGGTGGAGGCCACGGGACCGGGGATTTCAATTTTTTTCGGGGAAAAATCACGCCGCCCGGATGGATCCGTTGGACAAACAAGTGCCTAACTCTGTCTACCTGTTTTTTTTTCTCTCTCCCCCGAACCATTTCCGGACCTTCGACTCTGAATACCCTTTGAACGCTGTCCAATAGGGAGTGGGACACGCTTGAAAGCGAGCGAACAGCTAGAGGGACCGCGACAGACAGAGATGACAGAGAGGAAGAGGAGCAGAATGAACGCGGTGAAACGAGTGGGATGAATAGGAGGTGGAGGAGAAAGGGTAGAGGTGATCGCGAGATCCTGTGTGACGAACAGAGAGAGAGAGAGAGAGGAGGAGGAAGGTAAAAAAGATTGGAGGGTGCGTTTTGTCGCGGCGCCGATAAATTTTGAATGCACCCGCCGGCGGAATTAGTAGCCTGTTGGGTAATGATCAAAAAAATTATAAACAAAAGATTCCACGGATGGCGAGCCTTTTTCGTGGATCAGCGAGGCAAGCGGAGAACGCTTGCGAAAAAAGCTTTGACGGTGGCACACGGTTCCCACCCGACCCGGCTCTCATTGGTGCCCAAACCTACCGGGCACACTATATTTAAAAATCGGCGCGCTCTCCCGGAAACTTTCTCCACAAAGGGTAGGGGCCAACCGTTTACATCGAGTTTATTAAAATCGACTGCTCGCGGATGGAAACTGTCAACGTGTGACGACGCGTCGGCTTCCGCCGCCCGGAGGATTCGAGCTGCTTCCTGGTGTCCGTTCGGGTGTCTTCAATTTCGTTCGACGCGGCATGGGATCTTGACGATTTGAGAATTCGAAATTTTCAATCTTTCGGGTTTTGTTACGTTTGGAATTTTGGATCAATAAATTTTTGGGTTCTTGAATGATTGAGTCTTCGAATTATTGAACCTTTGAATCCTTGAACATATTAACCCTTGAACCTATGAGTTCTTAAATTTTCGAATCTTCGAATCTCTGAATCTTTGAGTCTGTGAATCCATGAATCTTTGAACCTGTGAATCTACGAATCTTTGGATCTTTGAGTCTTTGAATCTACAAATCTTTGAAATGATGAATGTTTGAATCCTTAAATCTTTGAATCTTCGAATATTTGAAGCAGTCAACTTCTGAATACTTGCAAACTCTTAAACTTCCGAAATTCCGAAATTGCCACACTCCATGCACAGTTCCGTCAACAATATCGATCTTCAAGCGCCTCTTCCACTTCTCCATCCTTTCATCCCACAAATCAGTCCACAAGTACCTTCAAAAAATCCTACATCTCATGCAAAACCCCATCTCCCACAAACAAACCCAAATCCACGCAACACTTCCCCATTACTCCCCAGTCTTACAAAAGATTGCGCAACCCCAGTCTCGACCACCAATCCACTACATTTATCGCGTGCATTACAAACTTCGTGGTCGAAACACCAGAACCTACGAACCCCAACAGGCGACAAAGGTGTACAAGCAGTATACAGGAGCCAAGAATAAAAAAAAAAACAACAAAATAAAAGAAAAAAATCCTATCACGTGTACATATACGTACGTACATATATATATAAAACAAAAGTACAGACACATAACGGAGGCTCATCCCGTAGCCTGCGTCAGCTTTCAAATGCGATTGATACGTACGGTGGATGATGCTGACGCCGGTCGTGCTGGTAAATCCGCCCACCAACGCTACAGACAGAGAGAGATTCATTATTTTTAATTAAACAAAACAATAATACGCTTATTAATTGATTAATTAAACATCACGTATGCATTACGTTGTTCCATCAACGGCCGCCGTCTGTTAATCCACCCCTTTCGACCCCTTTCGGACGCTCGCCGCTTATTACGCCGACTTTTATATCCACCGACGGAGAGTTTTCCAGCAACGACGCACGAAAGGGGCGTCAGAGGGGCGGTTAGGAGGAGGCGGAGGTGGTGTGGTGTGCTGCGGGTGTGTCGGGTGGCGGCGGGGGCGAGGGAGGCGGCGATGGAGAGGAGGGAGAGAGGGAGAGAAAAAAAAATTTCGTTCGCTCGCTATCATTGTGTTTGTCCGGTCGGCCGTGATCGCGACGCGGGTTTTATCAATACCGCCGTTTTCGGCGGGATAATAGCCTGATTTTTTTCCCGCGCCGCCGCGTTCGCCACTCCTCATCGATCGGCAAATTTAATGAAGTTGTATCAGTTGTCGACCAGCCACGAGTTTTTCTTGCAATTTTAGTAATTAATTTCTCGATTTAGCCATTGACGTCAGTTGTCGACGCTCCCGGTGGTTCGGTTGCGCCGGCACTGATAAATTTTAGGGTGCACACGCGCGTAGGTATGTCTGCCTACGGGAAACTCTACGAACATCCTTCGACGAACGTCCCTTTCCTTATTATCAATTTTCGAAATATTCCTATTTTCTTTATTGTCAACGAATATTTAAAATGTACCGGAGGAACGATACAATTTGTCAAAGTACATCGACGATAAATAGCCTCGATCGGTATAGAGGAATAACAGGTAGAAATGAAAGATAGGATGGATCGAGGTGTAATTCACAGCAAATTCCATCAATCGAGACAAAAGAAATAATTGCAATTTTTATAACAACGATATGTAGTCCACCCATTGCGTAACCCGTTCTTTCAACAATTTCCTTCTTCACTCCGTCGATAAAAATGTGCACTCCTTTCTACCGCGGTGCAACTAAATAAACGCGATTTCACCATAAAAAAGAAAAAGAAATAAGGGAGGGAAAAAAGGAAACGAGTGGGAAGAAAGAGCAGAAAAGTTAACTGCACAAAGTTTAACAGCTATTCAAGAAGGTGTGTATATACATATGTACAGAGAGTAATGCCGGGAACCGTTTCGCGGCGTGCATCTAATTAACGTCGATCGCGACGCGTTCGCGCGAGTAAAAACAGTGGAAAAACGTCGTTTCACCTTAATATCGTGAAAACGATCACGCGGCACAATGACGTTTGAGACTGTAACCAGCTCATAATGGCGGCAGCGGCTCGCCGTTGGCCGCGATAATAACATTAAGCTTTATTTAGGTGAAATTCAACTTTAAAACGTGACTCGCGGTAATTATGCGAGAGTGAAACAATGCCCGCTGGTGGCCTGGCCTCGCATGATATACGTCTGCGGGTTTTTGCAAGACAAAGGCGTTTTATATCGCGCGCATTCGCCGCCCGCAACTTGCGCGCGGTTTTGTGCCTTCGGCCACGCGCGTCACAGGAAGTTTATGCACTTCACGCGCGCTATGTCGTGCGTTTGAGAAATGCCTTACAAAGCTCACGTTCCTTCTCTCTTTTCATTTCTCCCTCTCTTTTTTTTTAATCGCCCCCACCCAGAGTTCGGCCTGCTTTCGTTTCTAGGCCGGAATATTATGTGAACGCATTTACGCGCCACGGTTTTGCTTCGGATATCGCGTTCGTTTGTTTCTGCGCTTTTTTCACGTTCGCGTGTTTTCTGAGGAGAAACGTTCGAAGGCTGCTCGCGTATGGTGTGCGGAGGAAGAATTATTTATCTCAGAAGTAGCAAGTGTGCTATTTATGTGTTGCATTGATTTTTGGCTTGTGCTGCGTTGCGTTAATTCTAAGACAGCTGATGCCGGGTCAAATGTGACCCAGTACCGAAATTATTATTTTACTGGAATTTTATTGTCCGCAATCACAAAAGTTCGGAGTATCTTTTATTATTCCTTTCCTTAAACTTTGTTAAAAATAAAGCGACAGCTTTATTAGAAATTCAGACTAATCAAGGTTTTAGATTTACTCGAAATATTGCACTTATTTATTAAAATAATATTACGAAAGTAGCGTTTAAGGTTGGAATTGGAATTGTGATTCGACTGAGTTCTTGCGGGATCAATTGGACAAGAACGTGAAATAAATGCCCAGCTACAAGCTTGAGGCAACGCTAAACCGAAAATAATCGAATTGACAGAGTGACAAAATTATGTCAAGCTGTCAAAAAACAAAAGAGAAGATACTTTTGCAAAAAACACTTTCATAAATTTGTCTAATAATTCTAAAAAATAAGTACATTATAATTATAATTTCTGTAGCTTCATGGCTACAGCAGAATAACATTTTCGTTAAAAAAATTGATTTACCTAAAGAAAGCTTTATGCTTCAAACATTGTAGCACTAATGTATAACCATGAAAAAGGTTCTAGAAAAATGGCAATTCCCATGAACGCGTTGATACAGTGAACACATACACACACTACCGACCAAAAGTTTGGAATCACCTCCCACTTTTCATCGATATTATATCTGCTGCTAATTTTTTATAGATTTGAAGTTTATCTAAATTCTGCTCTTATCAATTTATCTCATATCAATTGATTCGAATGATAAAAAATTCTCAATGTCGCTGACTTTTTTTCTGGAAACTTTTGTGTAAATTGCAACACTCAGTGATTCCAAACTTTTAGCCGGTAGTGTATGCGTCGACGCAACTTAAGTTCACATTCCATAAACGAAAGAATGCTACACATTCCACATTCGCTTCAAGTCCAAACAACTGATCTTGACAGACAAACTTAAAAAGACAAACGAACGAACAAAGTGTACATCGGTTCAACGATAGAATTTTCCCGAACGAAGGAAAAGCCGGAAACTTTCTTAACGAGGCAATTTTTCTAAAGAATCATTCGTGAAAATATACATAAATTTGGCGCGCGCGGTATAGTTTCGTGGACATTCGTCGACCCACAAAATTCCACCGCAACTTCCCTTTTGCCCCGAGAGTAGTAAACTTTCGCAAAAGCACGGAAAGGGGAGAGCCACAGCGGTGCAGCATATTTTTACATATTGCGAACTGATGGAACAAAGTTCCTCTGTACCTCATTCTCTCATTATCCCGGCCATAATAAGCATAATAACAAACGTACGTTTTACCACGCATTATTTATACAAAAAACGTTCAAAAGCACGGTTTTCGCCAGTTAAATACGGTTCAGCCGCTCAAGGGTCTGGCGGCTGGGCTGTCGCACAATGAGACACACCCGTTGAAAAAGAAGAAAAACAATCTCCACGGCAAAGGGATCAACAAAGGGCAAAACACATGGAAAACCAGGAGGCGACGTGTCCGCGCGCGATAGTTTTTAATATGTAGTATTAATTCTAACGCGGAATTACTTTGTCGCGGAGAAGTAATGAGGGAACCCCGCAAAAAGCATCGACGTAACGAGGCGAAAGAAAAGGAACGCGTGCCGCATGTTCTTTTCTCTCTCTCTCTCTCTCCCTGCGCGGGCGTTTCGCCTTATTGTTATGAAAAGAAAGAGAGAGAAAGAAAGATTCGCTTTCTTCTAGCAGCCCGGCGGTCGCTTTGGCCGCCGTTTGACTTTTCTAATTACGGATTCGAGTGTTCAATTGGAACGCGTTCGCGGAAGGAGCCGCAAAGAATGTGTCAGAAATTATATAACCCTCTTTTATATTTTCGCTCTTTCTCTCCCCCGTTTTTCCTTTCTTTTCTCCCCCTCTCTCGCTCACCTTTTTTTTTTTAAATAGAAGCGCGGCAGCGAATTTAATTACAACGATGTCCATACAAAGTTTTCTTTCAGGCTGACTGTGGAGCCACGTTAATTAATTACGGAATATAAACGCAAGTTCCGCGCGCTTAGTTACTTACGAGGTCTGAGGGAAAAAGAAATTAACAAGACGCGATTCGATGAATTTTTCAATCCGAGAAGAAACGTGGCGAGAGTAGCTGTGCAACGATCTAACGAGAGTATAAAAGGGAGAGAAAAGGAGGAGACGAGAAAGGAGGGTTTCTTCCCATCTCAAATCTCGTCATTTTTACAACGTGAAAGTTACACAATTTCTAGCAACCTAATTTTCCCCGTACGATCGAGGCGTTTGTAATACAGGCGTTCCTAGCCGATGTTCAGTAATCTCGCAATTACTACTTGCAACGATAACGCGTTTCAAAATAACAGCTTTTCACGGCGACCCTTCGACGAGCTAACCGTGTCGCTATTGTTAAGCAATATCCCTAATGTGGTGTCAATTCATAAATAGCCGGACGCCTATACATGTACACGAGAGCTGCGCTGGCCAATGCGACATTGCTGTAAATGACGACCATCGACGAGGCTGTATAACTGGACGTTACATGGCCTGCACATAAACGTTGTCCCCCACCACATCGTGGACAGTAATTACGCGTTATGCGTTCACCGGCAATTCCACCCTCCGTTGAAAAAGAAAATTTTGCTGCGTAGAGCAGCGAATGGTTACCGGTAAAATCTTCCCCGAGTATTGTCATTTTTAAAATAGCCCAATATCACCGGGGGGGATACTCCAGAATCGAGTGAGAAATTATAGCGGAGACACGGTGGGTAAAGGGTTGACAAACGAATTCAAAGTTTCGATGACTTGAAAATTTTAGGAAGTTACGATGATCTATTATGTGTTCTACTGTTTCAGTGTCCTTTTGTGAGTACTGAATGTTCGAGGTGTTGTAGATACTTGGGTTTCGGAATGTTTACATTGAGTAAAGTAATGATAATTCGTTGTATCATTATTCTACATTCTTTAGCTGAAATTTTCTACCTGTCAAAGTGTCTCAAGATATTTGGATCTCCTCACGTTTCTCTGGATTTAACCGAATTTAGAGTGACCTACATACTCTGCAGGGCCCCAAAAAGTCTAATTTACCTAATTACACAATGTCTTTGAAATTTCCCTTCA